AACAGTTACTGCTGTTACGAGTTCCGTGGGGACCAGTGGTATGACTTTTGAAGGGTTGAGATTGGGTCTAGGCGAGGATATCAACGCAAGAATCAAGGTGGATCTTCCTCTTCTGATTTATTAAATGTCGGAAGAGGTAGAGGGAATAGCAGGAGCAGTGGGAGTCGGGGAAAAAGTTCTTCTAGAACTTTGAAGAATGTGAAATGCTGGAACTGTCAAGAAGTGGGACATGTTATAGTCAATGTCCAAAGAAAGAATTGAACATTGCGGTGCTGAGAGTGTGTCTGAGGATGATGCATTGATACTCAGTAGGGAAAGTTCTGTAGACTCTTGGGTCATGGATTCAGGGGCTTCGTTTTCACGCCATGGACAACGGGGAAACGATGGTGAATCTAAAAGAAGAGAGATTTTGGAAAGGTACGTTTGGCAAATGACGAGATGCTTCAGGTAACGGGCATGGGAGATATTGATTTGTTTACTTTCATTAGGAACTACATGGAGCCTGAAGGATGTCAGGGTGATTCCGGAGCTGAGAAGAATTGATTTCTGTTGGTCAGCTGGATAAACAAGGACTCGGGAAGTAAGTTTGGTAGTGGTAAATGGAGGGTGGGGTCAATGGTGATCTGGTGATTGCTCGTGGTATGAAGTGTGGGTCATTGTATATGGTTGAGGTACCTGCTGAGTATGACCGTCCCTGTTAAGCAAGACAAAATCTGGTTCGCTAAATCTAGTGCTAAGAGACTTCATTTTGCAAACATGAAGTCTGAAGCCAAAGGGATGTTAGCTGAACGAGTTCGAAAGTCGAAACCATTCAGGGGATTCTGTGACAGTGGAGCACGGGACGTGTTTCGGGTACAGTTAAAAGAGCCTTTGGTTTTTGAAGACTAAGAACTGAAAATTTCTCTCCTGTTGGATGTTTGCTATGTTTGGAGTGTTAGTGGTCCTCGGTGTATCTCTGGATCCAGTAGAGTGTCCAAACCAGTTGAGACAGAGGATGAGTCGGTGGTGGGATTAGCCACGGCTGAGTTGGAGCTAGTGGGAGCTTCAACTGGCCCTTCTAGTAATTGATGATGAGGGGCGGCTGCAACTAGAGAAATCAGACTAAGTTTTAGCTTGTTCATTGGAACTGGAAGCCAAAAGGACTTGGTTGTGTTTTAAGATTACTGGAATAATTGAGAGTTGAATGGCGGAGAAAAGCTAAAGTTGTTCAAGCCTCCAAGTGGGAGATTGTTAAGATTTATGGAGTCTTGAACAAATGACAAGTTCCTAAGAGTTCAAGGGCCATAATGTAACTTGAAAAATATTAAACAATTCAATTGTTTAATATTGAATGGAGGTACGGCAAATCAATTGTTTATTATTGGACGCTTTTTTTGCATGGTCGGTAATGGACGGCCGCAATATTATATTTTACAATATGTGAATGAAGGAAAATTTTGGACGGCAATTTGTGTAAACAAAAGAAAGTACGGCTCTCTCTCCTATATATATATGTGCGATGTACCCGTTGTATGTGTGCATCAAATATAACTGTAGAGTTATAAATTGTAATCTTATTAAGTTATAAGAAAATCTAGTTGCAGCCCGTGGACGTAGGATTTCCCGAATCCGAACCCGAACGTAAAATCCTTTTTTCTTTATTGCTTTATTTTTCGTGAGTTTGTGAGTGTGTGACAGTGTGTTTCCGCTGCGTGTACCCGGTCCGATTCCTAACAGTGACCAATAACATATTGTTTGCGTCTAGAACAAAACCTTTTTTGTTTAATTGATTCAGTAATGGCTTTTTCTCTAGCTCCTTTCAACCTCTTACCTGTACCACATCCTTTATTACTTATGTCATCTGAAGGGTTTCCAATATCAGAAATAAATGGCTTCTTCACTCCATAGGATGACTCAACAAACTCAGAAATATCTTTTCTTGTCGACAATAAATCTGAACAAATTGACGTAGAACAAACACCATGAACTTTCAACTTTTTTCTTTAATGAGCTCAAAAAACTAATTAAGCTTATCCGCATCTTTACTCAAAATAGACACACTTTCTTCCACAAAACTCAAAACCTGACGAGAAAGAGGATCATATAAAAATGATGATGATGATGAGGCCTCGTCACTTGAACATTGTTTCATAAAAACCTCAGATGGAATTACACCTTTGCACCAACGCCTAAGTATGTACTTTGAAGGGATCTTGTTTATTTGGTAAGTCCTAAAAATGCAAAATATATGTCTGCACAATATACCATGCTGAAAGAACAATGAAGAAGAGAATTCAAAACTTGATTCTTTTTTGTCATAAACAACTTGTGCATAATAAACACAAACAAAAATATTAATAATTCACAACTTAAAATTTGAAAAAAAATTAAAAAAAATATAATTTACCTTGAAAAAAAAGTCTTTTCTGGAACAACAAACTCACACTCACTTTCTGAATCTTCTTCATTAACAACTTTTGGAATAGACCCCATAATATCTTTACATTGCATAACAACAAATCTATCATAAAATTCTTCATTTGTAACACTGTGTTGTGAACATGAAAATACAGATTGTTCAATTTCTTTCTTCACTTTTATGAAAACTTCATTAGTATATATATCAGCAGCATGTTCCATAATTTTTAGTGAAATTTTACTTTTAATCTTGGAAATATTGCTAAGATGGTCTAAGAAACACTGATTATGTCTTTGCTTGTCCATAGCTGAATCAAAACAAGCAAAGAACTTAACCAATGAATTACCCCAGTCAGCAACTTTGTTGAATGCAGAATTCATGCTCTCTGACCTAGAAGTGGTCCTCATCAAACCAGACAATGGCATGTCTCTAAAATATGTTGGAATCCAACTTTCTCTCATATCAAACATTTTCGAAAACCATGAAACCTCTTGGAGCTCATAATCTTCAATAAAACTTCTCCATCTAATATCAAACTCAGAAGCATCTATCCTAGAATTCCAAATTAGCTTATTGAAATGTAACATCCCAAAAACACAGTCAGAAAACTTCGTTATAAATCAATAATAAAACCATAGTCATCATACGTCATAGAAAAATCATACCAATGTATCTCAAAATAATATAACAATTGTCATGTGTATCAGAGTATAAACATCTCAGGCTGGACAAATGGTGTGTGCACTGCAATCTTCCAGAGCTCCTCTTTTGAAAACTAGAGTACCTGAAACCAAAACTGAAAACTGTAAGCACGAAGCTTAGTGAGTCTCCCCAAACTACCACATACCATACAATAACACATAGCACATATTGGGCCTTGCCCACTGCATCGGGCCCCGCCCGGCATCGGACCGAAGTGCGGACAAACTTGGGCCCCGCTCACTGCATCGGGCACCGCCCGACATCAGACCAAAGTTCGGAATAACTTGGGCCCCGCCCACTGCATCGGGCACCGCCCGGCATCAGACCGAAGTCCGGAATAACTTGGGCCCCGCCCGGCATCGGACCGAAGTCCGGAATAAACTGAACATAGCATAACATCTTACATAATCACATATATTGCATCGGGCCGAAACCTGGAACATATAACACATAACATAAACATGCCTGAATCACAAAGACATCAAGCATATATAACTACTTTTCGGGATTACCCCGACATCGGACCGAAATCCGAAACACATAACATATAACATGTAAACTAAGCCACTTCATCGGGCCCCGCCCGACATCGGACCAAAGTCCGGTAATACTAATGTGCAAACTAAATCACTGCATCGGGCCTTGCCCGGCATCAGACCGAAGTCCGGTACTACTAACATCTAAACGGGCCGACGTTGTGGCCTTAGACCCGTTCCTACTGGAAGAGGACTCACCTCATACTGCTGAAGTCCCACTAACAAAACCATAGCTGCTCGATGACAGATTCCCGATCTGTCAATATCAAAATAACACCCAATTAATAATTGGGTTCCAACTCATAACCATAAGTCCATACTTGGGGTAAAAGACTACTCCACCCCTAACTTGGCTTGATTCAAGCCCAAGGCCTAACTCAAAGGCCCAAAAGTCCAACTATGGCTTAAAGCCCAACATATGGCCCAATTTTCCAAATTGGGCCTAACCTCTACATGGACTTCCCTTAAGGCCCAATTGTTCAGTCCAGTCCAACATGTCTCATTCTAAGTGCCCAATATCATACAACCATCTAGGCCCAAACTATGGCCCATCTATGGCCCAATTTTCCAAATTGGGCCCAATACTTCATATGGGCCTTACCCCAAAGCCCAACTAATTACTCTAGTCCATTTGATTATTCTTGGATGGCCCATTACTAAACCAATTACCAAAACCCAATCGAAAGGCCCAACTCAAGGCCCAAGTGAAACTAGGGTTTCAGATAAAATGACGATTAGGGTTAAGTGTTTCTTACTTAACCCATTAAGGACTTAATCCATTAAGTACTTTACTCTACTAGATCAATGTTATGGAGAAATTTGGCTTAATACACAATCCAATCTCAATAGCCCAAAAATGGGTCCAATAAGTCCAAGGCCCAATTACTCACAATTAGGGTTTTCTAAACCCTAATTAGGGTTTCTACTCAAACATGGCCCAATAGGCCCAAAATTAATCTTGAAGCCCATTAGAGTTTTGGCTAGGTCCATTAGGTTTTTTGCTTGTGGGGCACCACCCACTACCACCTCGGGTAGTGGTAATCAACGGCGGCACATGGCGGCGGCCACCACCTTACGGTGGTGGTTACTATTATTTTTATTATTCATTGATAATTACAATTACAAGGTTTAATCCAAAAATAAACACACACACTAACTAACACACACACACACACACAGCCACCCTAGCGGTGGCCGGCAGTGGCATGTGGTGGCGATGACTTATTTTCCGATTCCGACCAAGGGTTTATCATGCACACGCTACATCACACACACACACTAAGATAGACACCCATCGAGTAGCTCTTCATCGATCTTAAGGGGGGGGGGGGTTGACGGCGGCACAGCCACAATGGCCAGCTGCCATGGTGGTTCGTCACATACCAACTCGACAGGATTTAAACCCACGCGAACACGACAGCCCCTTCGGGGTAGCAACGGTGACCGGAGCAAACAAGAGTGAGCCAGCGGCGGCGGATGGAGCTGGGGGGGGGGGTTTATTCGTCACCGGAAACAACCGCGATTGCCAACTGACTCGATTTCTCACCGCCCATCGGACGAACGTCGGCCTAGCAATCTTTGATTTCGCCGGCAGCAACCAGCGTCACTCGAAAGGTAGTTCCCGCTCCGACAGCGGTGACGAGCAACACGCCGATATCTAGTTCGCTGCCCTTCATTTGTTGCGACGTCCCCCGTAATCCGGCAGACTTCAACTTGTCGACAACGTGAGTCACTGGTGGTCATTCGGAGTCTTGGAGCTTCGACTGATCGGGAAGGCAAGAGGGAGTCGGGTGGTGACGGCGACTGGAGGAGTGGAGGGATAAGGGTGGCAGATGCTTCCATCATTTAGGGTTAGGGTTTGGACTAAGAAGCCATCGGCTATATACCCCATCCATTTCACAACTTTTCCATAATTACAATTCTGGTCCCTCCTCATGGGATTTTTTCAAATCTAATCCAATATTTACAATTTAAACCCTGAATATTAGAATCCATTACAACTTAGGTACGGGAATTACCAAACATCCCCCTATCTTCCATAATCTCTTCAAATGAAGTCCCATAAATTACCATTTACTCCCTGCCTTCATAAATACTTACAAAACTAATCTGGAATTTACACTTTTAACCCTCTACATCTAAAATTCTTCGCAAATCAGTCCAGGACTTACATTTATTAATTTATTTAAATAAACGGGGTGTTACAACTCTCCCCCACTTAAATTAGATTTCGTCCTCGAAATCATTTCTTACCATTCCTTATACACCCAATCACTATAGTGAGATGGTCACCATCCTGGGCACACCCTAGCCTTCTCAGGGTAGCCATGACCAATCTTTGCAAAGCCTTAAATTCCACTGGTGAACGAATTTCTCGCAACAGTCCATATCTACTCTGTCTGAAATCTGCTGTCTTGAGATGGTCTGATTCCCTGACAGACCACTCATACTAAATCATCATCGATGAAACCAACCTGCTTATCTCTCAACTGAACCCTCAACATCCTGCTAGCTCGAAATTCCCACTACAAAACAGGTTCACAAACCTAATTATCCCTGTAGATCACTTATACTTGGCCAATGCTCAGCCATTTCCACTGTGAGTGACTTGTCACTTCCCAATAAACCAGATATCCTGTCTGTACTTGCAACTTAGGGCACAATTACTAACATTACCCAAACATTGAAACTGACCGAACACTGAACTGCCTGAAGCAGTATGTTGCCACATGGATGCTCACCAAAATCTAACGAGACCTCCCTGGTCTTAGTTCGTTCACCAATTATCTGAAATACTAGGTTCCGGCCCGGTTGCGGAGCCAAAGGGCCCCCTACTTAGTCGACTCGCACGATTTCTGAACAAATCCTTCTCTCGAACTAGTTGCCACTAGTTATCATGTCATTAAGGCTCTAACAACCTCCTGATCCAACCGATCGGGTCCGTACGTCGAATCCTGATATTACCAAACCACGGCTAAACGCGATTGCTACATGACCAATGGTAGCCTTATATCACAACGACCTTAATTGGTCCATTGCTTCTTGATCCCATGACTGCAGTGACGCTTCTATAGTCTTATCATCGGATCAACCAAATCTAAACCATCTGGGTAATTCTGAAATCCAATCCGTGGATTTCCATATCCTTACTGTTTCCCCCGAACTGGTGGGTACTACTGATCATTCTGCATCCTAACAATGCACTCATGCCATCTACCAACCTAGTGAATGCTACGGCTATACCCGCTAACTTACAACACTCTATCACTATCTGGCTGCTAGTGAATGCTACGGCTACACCCGCAGACTTACAACACTCTAACACTATCCTCAAACCATACAGCCGTTTGGGCTGTCTTCCTTCCTGACAAGGATGCGAAACTTAACCCAGTTTCAAAACTGCTCCTACTTCTGAATCCTTGGATGATTCTCCCCCCACTTTGATTCCACTAACGTCTTACATCACACAATACTGGAAGGATTCTCAATCCTTCTTACTATTCTATACCCAATCTGCTGAAACCACGCTTACCATTGCTAGTGTTTCAATACTAGCCAGTCCAAAAGATTACACTAACTCCAAGAACCCGAATAAATCTCCGGTAATAATCCACTAAACCTAGGAAGCTTCGAATCTCAATTGGAGACCTCGGAATCTCCCACTGCATCACGGCCTCTATCTTGGCTGGATCGACTAGAATATCCTTCTGATTGACAAGGTGCCCAAGAAATTGCACCCCGCGCAACCAGAACTCACAAATGAAGAACCTTACAAAAATTATCTCCCTCCTCAAAGTCTCTAGCACCTCCCTCAGGTGCTTCTCGGTATAAAATTGGCATATGACATCTCTTGAAAATATAATTCAAACACAAACAGAGTATAACCCAGAGTCACACTTACTCAAACCCTTGGAACGAAAGGCTCCCTTGTGCAGTTTCCCGCACGTGCTGTACTGAATCTGACCCTGTTGGCCTCTCAAAAGCTGATCTGAAATCTATAGTCTCCTCTCGAGACCCCTCAATATAAGCAACTGATCTGATTCCCTCTTACCAATGTGCTCCAAGTTAACATCCCGTTCTCGAGCTCTAGAAGTCATATCATTCAGGGTCTTGCACCCCGAGATACTCACGATCTCCCTACTATCATTCTACGGTATATTCAGATACCTTACCTTCCTCATTTCCTCATCTGCTGCATACCGTGATACCGTATAAGCTCTTTCCCGAGACTTGGCAGTGATCTCTGCCACAGTCTTATTCGTCTGGTGGAGATCTAACAACTCTTGCGCCAACTATTGCGCCTCAATCGCCTAGGTACACTCTGCCCAGAATCTGGTCTAAATGTCATCCCATGACATAGCATCAACCGCATCATCACTCAACCTTCTACCAACCTCTTCCTATCAATCTCGTGCTCTGTCCCTCAGGAAACAGGAAATAAGTCGGATCTTGTCTCCTTTCGAGACAATGTCTGGTATGAAAAGTGTTGGTGACATCTGCCAACCATCTGCTGCTAACAATGGGGTCCCTAACCCCCATGACAATCTGAAGCCTCACAAACTCTGAATTCCCGAAACATCAACGTACGGGTCTTTATCATGACTGTTATCTCAGTGCAGAATGCACTCGGCCTCTCATCATAAATCTCTATAATGCCCTCCTTGATCACACTAAGGATCATAGGAGTCTGGTCAATGATACTGCGCGTAACTCTCAGATGGAATGAACTCTCTCATCTGATCACCAATATGCCCGGCTCCAGAGTCCGCGCCTGATCCCTCGCCGACACCAAAACTACCATCTGGTCTACCACGTAGCGTCACTATACTCAGAAACATACCATCACTAACATCACAATACTCATCCAAACTCGAGGGATCTCACTCACTACAAGTTCCCTGGGTTCATCTCAACCTTCGTTGATTCGAGTACGGATCCTCTGCTTTCAGTAGTACAGGCCCATACTACTTTCCACATCTATCCGTACTTTCCTCAAGTACTGCCTCGACTCCACCAAGTCTCTTCTACTACTACTGCTGATCTTATGCTAATGCCATTCTAGGCTTGCCCTAGGGTAATCACCAACCCACTCTCCGCCATCAGCTGCATAAGAAGTCCCTGCTTTATTCCCTTAACTAGCTCGCGAATACTATTACATATTACTCAGACTAGATAATTATTCGAATGAGAGATCCTACCCTACAACGGTTGGACTCAAACAAGAGCTGCGAAATAGAGCTAGACCTAACCTTCTGAAATAATTTAGTCCTTGCAATATGTAACTTAACATATTCGTTTACTAGTTAGTGGTAGACACCTAGAACTCCTAAAAGCACAAAGCAAGCAGCATTCGGGCGTTGAGTACACATAATCAAGCATATACTACTCTGGCTATCATATTGACTAATCTGTACTAGCATGCAGTTTTCAATAAGTTGGGACACATATAACATGCACATAAGGCATCCTTCCTAGATCCTTAGCACTAAACTAGCATGCAGTTCTCATAAAGCTGATACACATACAATAGGCACATAAGGCATCATTCCTAGATCCTTAGTCCTAATCTAGCATGAAATTCTCATAAAGCTGATACTCATATCATAACATGAACTTGTATGGGTAATTTGGGAGTACTTACTTGAACTCGGCTGATTGCATGCACCACACCCTTTTCTATTTTCAAAGTTCCTTTCTTCATACTTTTCTAAAAGTGTTTTCTTTTCTCAAAATCCTTTTATAAACATGGTTTTTTTTCTTTTGAAAACTTTATACAATTTCCTTAGTTTGAGTTCAGACATACTCGAAAATGTGCCCGAATCCCTCAAACCAAGGCTCTGATACCAACTTGTAACATCCCTAAAACACAGTCTGAAAATTTCGTTATAAATCAGTAATAAAACTATAGTCATCATACGTCATAGAAAAATCATAACAATGTATCTCAAAATAATATAACAACTGTCATGTGTATCAGAGTATAAACATCCCAGGCTGGACAAATGGTGTGTGCACTGCAATCTTCCAGAGCTCCTCTTTTGAAAACTGGAGCACCTGAAACCAAAACTGAAAACTGTAAGCACGAAGCTTAGTGAGTCTCCCCAAACTACCACATACCATACAATAACACATAGCACATACTGGGCCTTGCCCACTGCATCGGGCCCCGCCCGACATCGGACCGAAGTCCGGACTAACTTGGGCCCCGCCCACTGCATCGGGCCCCGCCCGGCATCAGACCGAAGACCGGAATAACTTGGGCCCCGCCCATTGCATCGGGCCCCGCCCGGCATCAGACCGAAGTCCGGAATAACTTGGGCCCCGCCCACTGCATCGGGCCCCGCCCGGCATCGGACCGAAGTCCGGAATAAACTGAACATAGCATAACATCTGACATAATCACCTATACTGCATCGGGCCGAAACCTGGAACATATAACACATAACATAAACATGCCTGAATCACAAAGACATCAAGCATATATAACTACTTCTCAGGATTACCCCGGCATCGGACCGAAAGCCGGAACACATAACATATAACATTTAAACTAAGCCACTGTATCGGGCCCCGCCCGACATCGGACCAAAGTCCGGTAATACTAATGTGCAAACTAAATCACTGCATCGGGCCCCGCCCGACATCGGACCGAAGTCCGGTA